CTGCTCCGGGGTTGTGTGCAGGCTGTTCGTCAAAGTCATTCAAGCTGTACTCTCCTAAGGAGCCCCCCAACGGCGGCAGCTTTCCCCCCTTCCACCCAGGCGCTATGCTGGACAGAGATGTGGGGTAGGTCTGAGCTGAGCTCTCAAGGGAAATTTGTGAATTCATTCAGCCAGTAAATTATGCCATTTGTTACCCTCTTGATGTCTTATCTTTTGACTTCTTGCAGGCTTCTTGTTTTTATTATAAAATCAGTTTTCTTGATGTTTACTTAAGAATATAAGAAATCTGTTTTTAGATTTATTTATTTAATTTTAATGGTATGGAGAGGTTATGAAATGCAATCTGTTTGCAGAATGTTATTAAAGGCATACGTGCTTGGTGGAGATTATCAATATCTTTTTTTTGTCCTAGGCCTACACCCATGTACCCCCCCTCATACATGGAGCCTGGAATGGGGTGAGCACATTGATGCTTAAATAATTAACGTCATTTGATCCTGTTTTAGGTCAGAAGTCCTTTATATAGCATATACTGTTCAAAAATTTATGCTGCATTTAGTTTGAAGCTGCTCTTGGATTATTGCTTTTGTTTGCACTACGGGTGTAAGTGCACTGAAGCAGCCCCGACTGCAGGGTGTTGAATATCCCCATTTTCTGTTTCAGGAGACCCACACCGTATGGGAACCAGACAGACTACCGGATATATGAGCTGAACAAAAGATTACAGAACTGGACAGAGGTGAGAATCGTTTTGTATTTCACACAGTGTAGTAGCAACCCAACACCAACTGTTTCACAAAAACACAGAGCCTGTCTTTTATTTCCAAGCAGGAAATGTAATAAAGTCCTCGTAGAACTACATTTTGTAGATCCTGTAAACTACTTACTGTTGCCCTATTTTTAGATTTCCCTCCCAACAGCTGTTGATGTGTAGGTAACCATGTTGGGGATTATGCGAGAAAATTAAGTCAGAACTCAGACTTGAGTTACATCCAGACTCTAATAGGATTATCTGATAAACCTGGCTAAAACATAATTGGAGTGCCAACTGTTTCTATGCCTAAACGGGCAAAAGAGTAGCCATTAAGTGTTGTTACGTTGTGAGGCTGTTTGCACACTACAGGAAATGCTTGCATGCTAATCTACAGCTGGAAGAACTGGTGGAATTGAGTTTTACTTTCAGGAAAGTGAATTGTTGGGTTTGGTTGCTTATCCATTTATCTCTAAGAAAATGCTTAAAGCTGCTGAATGACTATCATCTGAGGTGTTACAGGGTGAGATTCAGGGACACCATGGACAGGTCGCCAATCGCAGGGCTTATTGCATGCGTTTCATTCTGTTGTCCTCAGGAGTAGAAAGGTTATAGGAGAGGTGCGGGTATATGAATTTCCAGTTCTTGTTTTTTGCAAATGGCATCTGTTCTTTCTTTTGAACATGACATATTTTAACATAACTCACTGCACATTTTGAGGAATCAAAAACTGAAAAATGTTTCTTCTTCTGCTCTTAGGACTGTGACAATCTCTGGTGGGATGCCTTCACCACAGAGTTTTTTGAAGATGATGCTATGCTCACAATCACTTTCTGTCTGGAAGATGGTCCAAAACGATACAGTAAGAAATATGTTTTCAAAGAAATGATAGCTGCTTGTCATTGAATATGTTTTATTTTAACACCCTACAATAATAAAGAGAAAACCCAAACAATCAGATGACCTGCTTATGAGCAAGCACTTAGCAACAGTGGGAATGAGAGACAGGACAAAAGACACACTGTGGAAAAGAACCAGAGATTAATAATAACTAATGATTAAATGCAGAGTGGTTTATAAACACAGAGTGAAAAGAAGTAAGTGAAGAGGAAACACTTGCTGCATTATGGCAAGGCCCCAGCAGTCCAGAGCTATTGCAGCATAACTAAATAGGATTGAGGATCACCTGATCCAGCCCCAAATATAAGCTTTATCAAAAAGTAAGATTTTAAGCCTAATCTTAAAAGTAGAGGGTGTCTCCTGAATCCAAACTGGGAGCTGGTTCCACAGGAGAGGGGCCTGAAAGCTGAAGGCTATGTCTCCCATGCTACTTTTAAATGTCCTGCTGTCTAAGAGAAGAGTGGTCTGTTGGGGTTGTACCGTATTATAAGGTTTTTTAAATCAGATGACGGCTTTTTTTTTTTTAATGTCCTGTCAGCTTTAAGCTTTTAACTTTGGCACATTTTGTCTGCAGCCATCGGCAGAACGTTGATTCCCCGGTACTTCAGAAGTATCTTTGAGGGGGGCGCCACTGAGCTCTTCTATGTTTTGAAGCATCCAAAGGAGTCGTTCCATAGTAACTTTGTGTCTCTCGATTGTGACCAGTGCACCATGGTGACTCAGAACGGCAAACCTATGTTTACACAGGTAATGCCAGTGTGGATAATAGACGCACAATTATCTTTGAACCTTTTGTTGAGATGGTAACCCATGATCTCTGCTGTTTGATTTAGATTTGTGTTGAGGGCCGCCTGTACCTAGAGTTTATGTTTGACGACATGATGAGGATCAAGACGTGGCACTTCAGCATCAGACAACACAGAGAGGTCCTACCGAGGAGCATTTTGGCTATGCATGTGAGTTGCCATGTAAACAAGCCCCTCTTTAATACTCCGATTCACGTACAGTGCGTGCAATTAGTCATTACTTGTTCCCCCCCCACCCTCCCACCCTATCCTCCAGGATCCCCAGATGCTTGATCAGCTGGCTAAAAATATCACCAGATGTGGGCTGTCCAACTCCACGCTCAACTACCTCCGTGTAAGCAAATTTCCTTCTTGATCTTGTTCTTTTTTTTCTTTTTCTTTTTTGGTAACATATTGGTGAATTATCTGTGTTTGGAACAATCTAACATCTATCATTCAACTTTGGCCTCTCTCGTCTTCCCTTAAGCTATGTGTGATATTGGAACCCATGCAAGAATTGATGTCTAGGCATAAAACCTATAGTTTGAGCCCCAGAGACTGCCTGAAGACCTGCCTCTTCCAAAAGTGGCAAAGAATGGTAGCGCCTCCAGGTAACATGTTTGAAATAGCCAGTGGCATTTATGATAGTTGCCTTTTAAATTTAAGCTTTGAAGCACCCATAATAAAATCCAGCAGCTGCTGCGTGATAGTTTCTTATCTGTAAATGACCTAGAAACTAGTGATTTATGGAGATTTATGTGAAACATGTCTTTCTGTGCTTGTAGCTGAGCCTGCCAGACAAGCTCCAAACAAGCGGCGGAAAAGGAAGGTGTCCGGCGGGAGCACCGTGAGCTCTGGCGGAGGCAGCAATAACAACAGCAACAGTAAAAAGAAGAGTCCAGCCAACAGCTTTTCACTCTCCAGCCAGGTACCTGTAAGCATTACATCTACTTGACTTCTGTCTGCACCTCCAAATTTCAGCTGAGCAAGGCCTGGGGAAAAAAGGGTGGAAGGGTTGGAAAGAAGGGCAGAGGGGTCAGAAAATTCTTTGTATGCGTTTATTGGGTGGGAGCTGGGGTTGCTAGCATGTTTAGTTGTAGTACCAGGTTTGGGTGGAGGTAGGTCAGGGAGGCATTTGGACTCAGTTTGGTGGGATTAGCTTTTTGTGTGTGTGTGTGTGTGTGTGGTTTTGTTTTTTGTAATTCTACAGAGGATGAATAGATTTAGGTTTTAGACCCCCTCATGTGATCCAGTGATGGGCAGTCCCTGGTCCTCTAGGGCCACAGGTTAAACGGTTTATCATATAGAGGAGGTACAACTGACCTCCGTCTCTGCTTAATATATTTTGGGTCTGTGGGGTAGGGTTAACCTTGCTCTGATTTCCAGTGGGATAGTTAGGCTTTCACTCTAAATCTGCCGTGTTATTCCGGTCTTAGAGTTACCACTGAGTCTATCAGAGCACGTGATTTCACACAGCACTGCTTGTTTGACTGAGCGAACGAGACCCGAGGTGGAATGAAACCCCCCGTGATGCAGCACTCAAGGATCAGGGATGCCCACTTCTGGCCAGTAGGAAAGGCTTCTCGACCCTGGTTCTTGGGACAGGGAGTCAGGGCCACATGGACTACTTAAATGTCTGAGTAGATGATCGAACACACATTGTCCAGTTGTGATTTGGTTCAGAATAAGAGGACACTAAAATGGAAAGCTTTTAATACTTGGGTTCCCTTGATTTCCAGTATAATAACGTTCATAAAACAAATAAATGTAATGCTGGAATTGAGCCCAGTCAGATTGCACCTAAAGCAAAAACCAAAACGAAATGAACAACTACAGAGTTGAGTTCAGGGTTAGTGACCCATGCGTGCAGTCATTCCGCGCACCCCCCTGTATTATGGGGATAATTTGTACCGGCCCTTGCTGTCCCCTTTAGGATGTGATGATGGTGGGCGAGCCCACTCTGATGGGAGGGGAGTTTGGTGACGAGGACGAGCGTCTGATCACGCGGCTGGAGAACACGCAGTACGATGGGGCGAATGGCCTGGAGGATGAGGACAGTTTCAACAGCTCACCTGCACTGGGGGCACACTCGCCCTGGAACAACAAGGCACCCTCCAGTCAGGAGAGCAAGAATGACAACTCCCAGTCGTCCCAGTAGACGAAGGGGGTCCCAACTCGTTTTGTTTTTGTATTTTTTTTTTCTCCCCCTCCCCCAAAAAAAAAACTTACTGGGGTCCACCTGAGCCAACATGCTAGCAAGAGGGGTCAGGGAGGGCGGCTTCGAGCACTTATGTTGAGTTAATTTTTATTTGTTGTGTTCTTTCATGATAAAAGGAGAGTGGGTGGTGAAATAGATGGACCAGTCGAGCTTATTGCCGTCACACAAAGGCCAGTTCAGCCACTCTACCTCCCTCACATGATCATTGGTGCTCAGCCTTGGCCCTAGTCTGCCCGGCTACAACCAGTCCTCTTAGTGGTGTGGTGAGTCTGGCGGGCTGGCAGTGTGCGTGCATGTGTGTTTACCCCCCCCACCTCCCTCGTCCCGCAATCATCGCTCACCACAATGTTTGAGCCAGAGTTGGCGTGTCCGGTTGTCCGAGTGCTCGCAGCGGCGCCAATGTCAGCGGGTTCTTGTTCCAACCTCGGGTCTCTCAGGCGTGCGTTCCCGTCAGCCTCGCACGTCGCTGTTTCTGTTGTGCTCATGTCACAGGGAAGGAATGCTTAGCTTTTATTTGACATGTTTTTGCAGGCTGCAGAAAACTGTGTGCACTCTTAGTATCAAAATTCAACGTTCGGTTTTTAAAAACTCAATTATTTGTTTTTGTAGGACCTGGTTGGAACAAAAACCTGTACAGTGCCGGAGCTTGAGGACCGGAGTTGAGAACCACTACGCTAAATCTTAAACACACACAAACACTGACAGACACACACCCATACACATACACACACATGCAAACACGCACACACTCACACCAGTGTGCACACACTAACACAGTCACCTTACACCTTCAGCATAAAACGTTGAGGTACTGGAGAAAGGTGGTATGCAGCGTGTCTGGACCAGAGCACCAGGCGCTAACAGAAGTGTGTTTTTATTTTCTATGTTTTAGACTTGTTTTGAGTTTGTTTTGTTTTTCAATTTTTTTGTAAACAATTTCTAAAAATAAACAGACAAGCAAGCCAACAAAAAACACCCCAGAATATTCTTTGCACTGTTTTCCACTATTAACGGCAATCTATTTTTCTTATGAATTGACGGTGTATTTTTTTTCCTTTTCTATTATTGCTAATGTAAGAACTGTAAACATCTGAAACCTGCAGTATATTAATGTAGAAATATTGCTGTTAGATCATTCTTATTGTGATGGTAAATAACTTTCATGTAAGTCTATCCTTGATATGTCATCCATGTGTCTCAGACATCCAGCTGTCATCTGGCCCATTGGCTTCAGTGCTAAACAGGCCGGGGACAACAGGGCCAGTGCTTAACTATCTGATGCGAGTTCAGAGTAGCACACTGGAAACCAGTTTCCCCAGGTAAATTTCCATCGAGCACCTGGTTCACATCTATTGTCTTATCATCGCAGAACTGTTTGCTTTGTCTTCAGATCTCTATATTGGGGTGAGGGTCCTCTATTCAAAGAATATAATGATAGAAATCAAATTTGCTACTCAAATATTTTAAAAACAACTTTTGATGGGGTTGTAAAATAAAAAATAAGACTTTTGTATTAACTTAAGCTTCCCAGAAATGTTTTTAAGTACAATTAAGAAAGCTGCAGACCAAGGAGCTACATGTAAAGATTCTTATACTGTTTAAACGGCGCTGTTTTATGTTATATAATGAATCATTTGTTGGCTTTACTCCTCATGTTTGTGTCTGTGCTTGTATATTTTTAGGTAGTAATTTCTGTAAAAGTTATTCTATGTATTCCTCCCTAGAACTATGAGATACTCAATCTAATGTAAAGAGATGAAAAACCTCTTAAGTTTTTTTTTTTTTTAAACGTGATTTTTAATGGTACAATCACTGACTTAAAAAACGATTTTTGCCCGCATTTTAGGAAACTGTATTTATTTTTCTATGTACTGATGTTCTGTTTAGGTTGAACCCACCTGTACAATATTCATGATGATATATGGAGGAATTTGTGGGGCTGCTGAGTCAGTTAATGCCAACGGAAAGTCATTCTGTTGTGTTTCTTACGGAGATGCAGTTTGCACATCGTTCTGTTGGCTCAGTATTATCGAGGAGGAATTTAAATGCCATCGAGGGTGTGGAAGCGTCAGGTGTATTTGAAAACCAGTAAATGGCAACGGTGACAGAAAGTGTTGACCTCCAAGTCATCCAGTTGTAAGCCTCAAGTTCCTTAGATGCTGGAAATGTGCCACAATGGTGCGACCTTTATTGAAATTTAATAGGATTGACCAAAACCTTTTAATTATAATACTTATGGTCTTGTTTTTAGGCTATTTGATGTCTGTTTTTCAGATAAATGTTAATATCTGAGAGATGAGTTTAACATAAAAGGAAGGTTGACCACTGACATTGGATCTTACCCTTGGGGAAGTCGGTCTTAAAGCTGTGGTGTCAGGGTTTGCAGAGAAATAGGGAAACAGTTGCCTGACAGCATCACCAGCTAACAGCTGTTGCATGGTAATTTGTAGACTGTCCAGCAGGGGTCTCACAGAGCACATGAGTGCGCAGCCTGCCAGAAATTCCTCCATCGTTTTTGGCTGAAAAGCCATCTGTAAATCTACACTAGGCTGCAGGCTATTGTGTTGAAATCCTTATTCATTGTCTCCAGCACCCCTAGTCTACATTTGTGGTGTTTCAGTTCAGCAGGCAGACACAGAATTGAATCTAGGAGCAACTTATCAACACCCTGTGTTTTCTGTTTGGGAAATATAAGGGTGTATGAGACAGAGATGAAATGGCAATGCACCCATAGCTGGCTCCTGTAGCACCTCATCATGGGGGTGGTTTTATATCTATATTTTTTTGCCAGGTTTCTGTCATTGATAATTCATGTATGGTATCAATAAAGATGAATTTTCACGGAAAAATGTGGTTGTCTTTATTGCTGGCGATAGAGGAAGCTCTTTGGCGTTTTGTCACACATAGGTGACCACACCCACAGCAAATTATCTGCAGCCATCTCATCTCACCGTGTCCCTTACATGCTCCCCGTCTGTCACACCAGCTCTGCATCTGCCATAAATATTCTCTGTGGTCTTCCCCTTTTTTCCCCTCAGTTGCAGTTCTAGTGTCAACATACTTTTTTCCAATATCCACCATCCCTCTGTCTCAGCCTTGCCTCTCTGTTTGTCTCCAAACCACTTGACCTGATCTTGCTTTCTTCAACTTTGCCATCTCCAGCTCATCCTCCTGTCTTGTTAGTGTCACTTTTGCTGCTATCCTCCTTTCACAAATCAACACAAACCCTCCATGGCTTTGGATGGGTGACCCCAGGTATTTAAACTCATCTGCTTTCACTACCTGTGCTCATTTCTTCGTCGTTACACCTTTCTCCTTCTAATTCACACCCATGTGTTCAATCTTGCTTCTTCTTAGTCATTCCTCTTCTCTCAGGAACTACTACTCTCCCTCTGGAGACTCCTGCCTGACCTCATCTGTCAGCCTGTCCATCACCATCGCAAACAAGAAGGGGCTCAGAGCTGATTCCAGATGTAATCCTTGCCCCACCTCGAGCCCGTCTGTCACTCCTACCATACACCTCACCACTAACTCCCTGCCCTCGTACATGTCGTGCACCACATACTTCTCTGCCACTCTTGACTTCCTCATGCACTACCACAGTTCCTGTCTTGGCAGCCTTTTACATGCTCTTTCTCTACATCCACTAATGCACTAATACTCCCTCTGACGTTTCTCTATACTTACCCATTAAAGATTTTTCAAGCAAACATCACGTCTGTAGAGCTGTTTCTTGGCATAAAGCCATACTGCTGCTCACTGATCATCACCTCTCTTCATAACTTACCTTCAACAACTTTTTCTCACAACTTCCTGTTTTGTTTTGTGTTTTTTTTTTATTGGCTGTATACCTGCTGCATTGCATGTCGGAGAATAACCCACAACAAATAATAACTTCCTCAAAGGAGGATTTATTTTCCTCATTTACAGTTTTTGTTGTTGTGCTTTGGAAGAGTTCCTTTGCATGATGTACAGTTCAATATAATCCTTATTCATCTTACATAGCTGCCCTTTAGTTATTCCACTGTCTGAAATTAAAATAAAAAAAGAATCAAAATGTTTGTTTCCTTCAAACCTACTTTCTCCTGACTGTCTGCCCTTGGTAAACATGAGATTTGAACAGCAGGTGGGTGTGGTCCACTATTGTTAATCACAGGTTATAGATATGTAAAATCTCTCTGTGGTAATAGATACTTTTTAAAATCACTAGCCTCTGGAAAGAAAATTAACATACAGACAAGCAAAATGGGTGCATTTTCTTGCTGAGACAGTGAAGACTAATATGAACAAGACACAGCAGCACTTGTTTTGAGTTTATAAATGCCAGCTTATCCAAGCTGCATTTCCTGAGGTGAGTCATCTCTTTTTTTCCCATTTTAAAAGAACTTCTTCACTATTTCTTGGCAAAAAAAAAAGGGGGATAAAAACAATGAATGCTGTCTCATGGCAGAAATTGTCAATGTCTGTGTGGCTATTATGTAGCTATAGTTACCCATAGGTTACCAATTAAGTAAAGATCGGCGCATGTCTTTGTTATTGATAACTGGCAGAAAATAAACTTAAGATACTGTAAAACAGGTTAAACGGAGAGTGTTGATTACATATTTAATTTTTTAAAGTACATTCAGTTTTGTCACAATTTATCCTGAACTAACAAAAACTTCTTTAGTCACCAAATAACCCCTATGTTCACAAGCTGAAAGGAGAAGGATCATGAGCACTGACATATGGTGGCCCTGAGAGGCCAAACGGACTGCAACTTCAGAAAACACTTGCAAAAAGAAAAATGCT